TATATACTAAAATTTGTACATGAATGGTTTGAATGTTTGAAAGATGTTTGGAATTTGGGGGGGACAACCGGGAAGACACTGAGATGTAAAAAACAAATAATTGTAAGCAAAGCATGTAACACGATGTTTGACAAGCACAAAACAATGTAGATAGATTGAAAAACTAATAAAATGTTTATAAAAAATATTTCAAAAATATATAAAAATGTTTTATGTAGTGTGGGAAACATAAAACACAGGAGGAGAGTTTTATTATGTTTGGTGGATATATAGGGAATAATTTCATAATTAGACTCAAAAGATAGCCTGGAAAGCATAGACTAAAAAAGAATGTGAAGATCCAAGTAGGGAAAAGATAGATTAGTAAATATAGTAATGCTGGAAAAATTGTTGTTGTTTTTAAATCTCCTTTTCTAGTATAATTGTATAACTTGATGTAAATGTACTATCTCAATCTCTGCAATTTTACCCGTTCCCTATCCATACCTACCCCCAACCCTAAATCCCCTTACCCAAAATCCTACCGCCACTGAAAAGAATAATAATACTCTTTCTCATCTCTCTACAAAACTGCTCAAAACAATGCAAATTAGAGGCCCAGAAACCTGCCAGGCTCTTTTTGGCACTTGGTATAATCAACCACATCAACCTCTCCAAAATGTGCCGGCTCAAGAGTGTATTTCACTGAACAGACAACATCTCAGGACCCACCTTGCAGGGCTGACTGACCTCCTGAATGTACCTTCCTTTCTCCTCCAGGCTTGTTAGACTTTGATACTTGACGGTTGTAATCTCCAAAGCCATATCTCCTTGGGAGATTCTCTTGGAAGGACAACTTCTTTCTCATCTTCTGCTGGAAAGTTTTGTAGTTGACACTCTGGGCGATGGAAGAAGGAGCAGGAACAGCCTTTTGGCCCACACTTGGTGACAAGCTTGTTGTTTTTGGGTGTCTGGAAGGGGTCTCTTCTTTAATGCATAGTGTGGAGCTAAGTGGGAACAAAGTATCTTGACTTGAATAGCGAAGACGTGGTTGGATCTTTGGCCACTCAAAGACTTTACAGAGCTTATCTTTCTCTTCTGTCTGAGGCATGAGAGATGAAGTTCTGGGTTTTCTTAGGCCATCAGATTTCTGGGACTTAGTTGCTTCCTTCTGTAGTTGGGCAAGGTCTACCTCTTTATGTGGATTATGGAAGGTAAACAGGTCAGTGTGACCAGGTGGCATCTCTCTGTTGAGTGTACTCCACTTTCCTCTCCAGGAAGACTCTGAGTCACCAAAGTGTGTGAAGTCCTGATAAGGCCTCATCGCCAAAGAGGTGTATTCATCTAAAGAAGGTCCAGAGACAAGCAAAGTAAGTTCAGTTTGAAATGAGGGCTTCACAGAACAGGATACCACCTACAATACACCTCTTGAACAACAATGTTTCCTACAAAAATTCCCAAAGAGCCATTCCACTCCATGGCCAATCCAACTCCAGAGACTGTAAGCGAATAGGCAATTACTAGTTTATTCTTCCAGTTATTAGTCTTTGTTGTAAGGAGTGGGGATGGAAAACAAATTCTACTGGAGCAATCACAGTATATAAGCCAATCAGAAAAACAATGTGCTTATGGTAGGCATTGACAAGGGCTGGCTGGGTAACGCAAAAGACAACCCAGACTGTGCAAGACCCAAGAAATTAGCTACACCAGATACTGAACCACAAAGCACATCCTGTAATCTTTTAAATGCACATTGAAAGTAATGTGTTCTTCCTAGCCTTTCCTAGCTAGGAGCTACATGCCAAGTTCAAGCTTGAGTCTTGCTTCTAAAATTTATGCTACTCCAGAGGACATTGGATGCTGATGTGTGTGTGTGTGTGTGTGTTTAGTCGTTTAGTCGTGTCCGACTCTTCGTGACCCCATGGACCAGAGCACGCCAGGCCCTCCTGTCTTATCCTGCGTATAACATTTTCTGCTACTCCAGAGGACATTGGATGCTGATATTCCCCCTCATTCTGGTGCGTTTGTCTGGAAGATTATTGATATACCATGTGTCCTTTGTCTGCTTGTGTGGCTTAAACCTGCTCTGCAGATTGAGAGCAATGGGTTCTATTCTTCCCTCTTAGCTTGTCCTCCTTTCCCCTTTTATTTGGATGTTGCTGGTTGTATGTTCAAAGGGTGAGTTTTGCATGTGTATCTCAATCCCCCCTGGCATTTCAAAGTCACATCCTACATTGGCCCCACCACACAGAAGCCCCATTCTGCCAGTCTGCAACTTCTCCCTATTGAACAGGGAGTTCTGAAGAGGAGTCCAATGTCTGCATGAATGAGATTCCTCTATATGCATGTGCACACATATGCACACACTCCATAGTAACAGCACTCTTGGCAGCACAGATAGAAAAACGGTAGTCTGTGTTTAAATGAACATGAATAAGAACTGCCTTCAGATCTTCTACTTAAATCAGCAAGACAGGTGAGAGATCAGCTTGGGCCAGAGAGACTCTGAGTGGGGGGAGGGGGATGAATTGAATGCCCTTTATGTATTGTTAATACACCCTGCTCAGGCATAATGTCTGCACATGCTCTTATGAAATTGCTTCAGATTGCGCCACCCCAATCTAATTCATGGAAAATGTGCACTTACCCAGTTCCTTATGGTGACTTAATGATCCTCTCACAGCTCTCAGGAATTCTGAGATGTTCAGTCTCCCATCCCCTGTAACAAAATGAAAAGCTAAATGAAGGGATTCCTACAAATGGAATGGAAAGTCTTTTAATGGGAAAGTCCATGTGCTTAGAGCTCCCTAGTCCATGCTTAGAGACTGTTAAGGGTGTGGAGTAGAGCTTTCTTAAACAGAGGTCCAGAATTCACCAAAGAATTTCACCCATGCCCAGTTCTCTTGGTCACCCAAACCAACGGAGTGAGAAGGGTCTTTTAGGTATGTCTAACTTTGATTTGATGTGGCTGACTTAAATCTGAGATTTTGTTATACCTGGCTATTTTAGGATGTCAATCTCAATTAGCAAGATGTAAACAGGCAAAGACCTTTCTCTTCAGACAGGCTTTTCCTTAGTGACTAGCAGCCTGAGAGGGTTTTTCAGATCGGATTGTGGTGCTTTGTTGCTTTTAAATGTGTTTCTAGTCTTGATTTTTTTTAAAATCATTTTAATATACTTCTTCAATTCTTTTAAAATATTTGTATAATTACTATTATTAGCTTTTAAATATTGTCTTTTTAATGTTCTAAATCTCCTTAAGTCCTTTTAAGGTGAAAGGTGGGGTAAAAATATTATTAAAAAAACAGACAGACAGACAGACAGACAGACAGACAGACAGACAGACAGAACAGACATGTTTTTGTTCATTGTGTTAGTTAATTTGATACCATTCAGAAAAAGCAGTATGGAAACAAGGTCTTCCTAGAACATCTCTAGATTTCCCTCTCTCTCTCCTTCAACTCTTCCGCACCCCCATTTTAGGAACAAATATTCTGGTTAGTTTCCCCCCCCCCCCCCCATTGATTGATTGATTGATTGATTGATTGAACTTGTACCCCGCCCATTTAGTCAACTGACTACTCTGGGCAGCTAACAACATATAAAACAATATAAAATATAATACATCAATAGACAAGAACTCAAGATGAAAGGACAAAATAAATCAAGAAGTGGCTGGAGGGAAGGCTTGCCTAAATAAACCAGGGAAGCCAGCAATTCATCTCTGGTTTGGATTTTAGTCTGCTTGAGAGAAGAAGCTGGAGGCTTATGCACTTCACCTTTCCAGGCAGCAAGGTTTCTCTTTCCCTAGTCTGGACTGAGAAACCAGTAACCATCAGATTCTTCTCTAGAAGTCAGAGACCTACTGACAACTTCTGCTCAATACCAGATGCACTGTGATCTTTAATACACCATGCAATGCCCCTTGTTCACATGCTGATGTTGAGGAATACTCACAGGTAATCTGAATACATCCCAGTGCTAGTTCTATAATCTTGGAGTCCAGAGAGACCCCCAAAGATGCCAAAATTGTCTCCAAGTCCTCAACGTACACCATGTCTCTCTTTATCCTTCTGAAAATTTTCTGAGCATTCCGGAGAGCTGCAAGAAGCGCATGGGAGAGGAATGGGTTTGGTCGGGAAGCACAAAACAATGACTGCTCCCTTAAATTCCAGAACCTGGATGGACAGACAGTCACAAGGAAACCATCTTTGCACTAATTATCCCAGCCCTGCTATATTTTAGGAGAATAGCATTAAGCAGGCTCAAACCTTATTATTTATATTATATTAAACTTGCAGCAATTATTTCAGCTGTTCAAGTCACTTATACAGATTGGTGGAAGTGCTGTGATATCACAGACCCTTCATGAACATTCCAGCTCACGGAGCAAAACTTTCAGCAGCCAAATGTGCCCCCAGACCAGTTGTGCTAAGGGAAGAGAAAGCTGACCACTTAGCTGGGATTAAAAACTTCACACATACTGTTCAAAGATGAAGAGGATCGGTGATGGGCCAGCTGACTGAATGGGAAAAAGCTCTAGGATATAATGATCTTCAAGGCAAGAGGACTGTAGGTAGAATGACTAAGGAAGAGGACAGAGTTGACCATCAGTTGGTAAATAGAAATCAGTGAGAAGGAAGCTTTTGAAGGTAATTCAACCAGGGGAGAAAATGACTGGGAAACTTTTGCTTGTGTTGGGCTGCTGTTTGAGGACAAAGCAAGTCAAAGCAGTGCCCAAAGCCCAGAAGAAAGGGCTTGATTGTAGAATATGAATTTCATTGACTTGAAATTGACAGCCAGTTCTTGGGCTGTAGACTTATAATCTTTTCTGTTGTGACAGCTTTGTACTAAGCTCCAAGTACATGGATGCATTCACCTCAAGGTATTTAGAAATAAAAGTACAAAGGATAAGTCTACACAATAAGGTTTAAATCCAGTTGTTAGGCCCAGTTATAGCAGATCTACTGAATCAATGAGATTTATTAGTATTAACAAGTTCTATTCATTCAGTGGGTCTACGCTAACTGGGGCTGACCACCAGATTTAACCCTTTATCTCATCTCAATAATACCCTTTTATCAATGTATTTGTAGTGTTGTCTCTTTTACTCAGTAGGGATGTGGTGCTGCTGCGGGTTAAACCCCAGAAGCCTCTATGCTGCAAGGTTGGAAGACCAGCAGTCATAAGATCAAATCCACATGGTGGAGTGAGTTCCCGTCGCTTGTCCCAGCTCCTGCCGACCTCGCAGTTCAAAAGCATCAAATACAACTAGATAAATAGGGACCACCATGGTGGGAAGGTAACGGTGTTCCATGTCTAGTCGTGTTGGCCATGTGACCATGGAAACTGTCTTCGAACAAATGCAGGCTCTACGGCTTGCAAATGGGGATGAGCACCGCCCCCTAGAGTTGGGCTAAATGTCAAGGGCAACCTTTACCTTTACCTCTTCTACTTACAAATGAGATATGGAACTTGAGATGTTCCTACAGTAGACACCTTCTTCTGTCACAAGATTCTACCACAACGGGCAACAATTCAGGTAAGAACTGAGCCCCTTCTGTGTTGATAAGTAAGATAGGAAGAAAGCAGGCCATGTTATGCTGCCAACCTGAAGCAGAATTGTCAATAGATCTCATTGTGCAGGTAGCTAGCCCTGAGTCACAGCATATACCCTAGGAAACAGATCACCTCAACTGTGGCCTAGACAAATGTAGCTGTTCAGATGTTGTTGAGCTACAACTTCCAGCATCCCACACCATTGGTTTTGATGACTTGGGCTGATGTGAGTAGTAGACTAACATCATCTGGAAAACCATACTTGCCCATTTCTGTAAGGAGGGATGAGGTTTGGAGTTGTGGTGATTAGCAGAGGTTTCAGACAAGGCTTTTATGATGCCTGCCTCATATGGCAGCTGTGGAAGATAATTTTAAAATCAGGTTTTTTTTTAATTCATGCTGCTTTGTTCACACACGTATGCACACAGACACACACATTCTCAAAACAGTCACATAATAATGTTGAAACTTTAAAATGCATATACTTAAAAAACCAAATGCGTATACTTAAAAAACCATTCTAAAAGATGCAATTTACAAAATTGTTACTGATAAGACTTGGAAATTGAGGATAAGCAGATACATATAGGTGACTTTTTATAGTACAAAACTGATAGAAAATAAGAATTAATATCCTGCGAACCCTGCATGCTTAGATGCCATGTTTTTTTCTTGCGTAGCAATGACACATCTACTATTGGAGATAGAACACACTGAGGTGTATTTCCACAAAAATGTAAAAAGGTTAGGGTTGTAATCAGCACTCCGAAAAGTTACTTTTAGAAACTACAGCTCTAGTAGTGCGATTCTAAGAGTTGCAGTCTAAAGGAGAAATATTTATTTTCAGGCTGTGCTGTGAAAACACACACAAACCGAGCTGAGATAAGCCTGAGAGAGAGAGAAAAAGAGGAGCAAAAAACCCCAACCCATTAGCAGTTAAGAAAAGCACAGGTAAGACGAAGAGATAGAGGGAAGCACCTGGTTGTTTCTCCACCATTTACTGTATGTGATTTCCCTCACCTATGCCTTTCTTTGCTGGTGGAGTGGAAGAGCCTTCCAAATTCTCAGCAAGGCTTGCCTGTGTTGCCAGTATGTTTGCCCTCAGATGTCTAGTCATGTACAGCCTTGGTGCATAAATTAAGTGAAAAAATGAAATAGGAACATGAAAGGAGACCTAGAAATAACATGGGCAGAAAGTGAAGAGTTGGGCAAGGAGGCCATGCGTAGTAACAAGCACTGAAATGAAATCTCCTTCTTTTCTCATTGCCTCTGTTTCCTGCCACCTACCTTCTGTTTCTGTGTAGGGCAAGATGCAATTCACAATGTCCAGGAAGTCAACAAAATCCAGATTGCCACGTGCTGTGGTGGAAAGAAGAGGCAAGGCAAATGGGTAAGAGATGTAGAATGGAGCCAGTATGCAAATTCACCTCAGGCAATTTTCTAATTCAGGCTCTAAATCCAGCTCAAAAAACAATAACCTAAAATCATTATCTTTTTGCATATTTCCTCCTTTAATAGGCAGTGGTAGTAAGGTTTGGCTATCAATTTGTGGGTATATTTGCACTGGAACTTTGATCTGGTGTTATGAACACAAGCAGCAGCACTGCTTTATGCTGTAAAGTATATACTGGTGATTGTGTAACTAGTTTTTGATATATCTGAGCACCAATACCTAAATAGGTCATGAGGGGGGATATAAATTTTGAACATTCAGTAAGCTTCTTATTTACCCAGCTTTTTATTTCATACATGTAATGGCACAAATGGGTTGATTTAACTGTGCATAGACAGACAAACAGTAAGTTAGTCAGATATATCCCAGTGTCCTGGATTGTGTAGGGTTGCTGGAGTGGGACGTGGGTAGTTCTGGATTCAAAGCTGTACTTAATCTGGGTTCAAATCCATACTCTGTTATAAAGCTCATGGCTTGACCTTGGGGAAATAACACCCTCTGAGTTTGACCAACCTCAGAGTTGTTGTTGTGAGGACAAGAGAACTCTCTATACCACCATGAGCTCACTGGAAGAAAGACAACAAAAGTAATGCGTTCCGCGAGTAGCGCTGTCTTGCAAAATTTCTGCACCACCATGAGCTCATTGGAAGAAAGACAACGATAGTAATTCGTTCCGTGAGTAGCGCTGTCTTGCGAAATTTTCATCTTGCGAAAAGCAGTTTCCCATAGGAAACCCTATGGGAACCTCGCAAGATGAATGAATTATTTTCATCTTGCGAGGCATAGGTCTTGGGGAAAAAATAGTCTTGCAAAGCACGGCCATAGAAGAAGCCGTCTTGCGAGGCACCACAGTGATCACGAAAAGCATTCGTCTATCGTCTTGCAAAGCATGACCATAGAAGAAGCCGTCTTGCGAGGCACCACAGTGATCACGAAAAGCATTCGTCTTGCAGGTTTTTCGTCCCACAAGGCGTTCGTCTTGCGAGGCACCACTGTAATTGATTATTCTCTACTGATATTAATCTCTATTGATTTTAATTCTGAGCACAGTGCACTTTCTCCTGCGTGCTACATGCTGTTAAGTTGCATCTAACCTATGGCAATCTTAACAGAGTTTCAAGGTATGTGGGATGTTCAAGGAATGGTTTGCTATTCCCAGCCACTTCCCAATTACTTTCCATGGCCAAGCAGGAATTTTCCCCTCTAGTAGGTCTCCAGAGTCTTAGTCTGATGCTCTGTCCACCATAACTATCTCTCCACATTTTCTTCTCCTTGTTTCCAAAGAGTCTAAAGTGGCTGCCAACCTTGGGTCCCTGCACGTTATTTGACTGCAATTCCCAGAAACCCTCACAAGCACAGCTACTGGTGAAGGCTTCTGGGAGTTGCAGTTCAAGAATACAGTATCTGGCGACCCAAGTTTGGGAACCACCAGTCTAAAGTAATAGTCGGTGGGGGAAAAAAACCATATCTGAGATGGAAAATTAGTACACACCATCCACAGGGACACATCGGAGAGCCTCGTGCATTTCAGTACCAGCCATCAGGATCCCCAGCGTGTGCAAGGTAAGCAAGAGGTGGTTGGCGTTAATCCTTCCCTTCTTGATGGCACTGAAAATGGTACAAGCCCTGGAGAGTCCTGAAAAAGCAAAGAAAGGCCTTGAAAGCCAAGGATAATATTGTTTTTCCTAACAAATGTCCTCCGAACTACAGCTGGGATTTGTTTCAAATTGTGGACCCCAGGGCCAAAAGCCAGTTATTAGTCCCAGGTAAAGTGGGGCCATTGAATTAATGAAACTCATTCAAGTGCCGACTTGGCAGTTCCATACCGAGTCTACTCTAGCTGGGACTAACAATTGGATTTAGGCCCAAGCTCTTTACTGAAACTTACCTGAACATGTCAGGTTTGGCAGCTCCAAAGTGTTTGCTGGCATAGTAACGTGTGCCCTGAAACCTCAGAAGCCTCTGCCACCAGTGTAGCAAGGTGACATTATCAAACCACGTCAGTGCAAAAGAACATTCTGTATGTGCATTGGCAGTAAACATATTCCCAGCTATCTTCAGAAATAGAATGGATGGATCTAATCACTTCCATTAACAATGGAACACTCATCACTCATTACCTTTTGCTCCTGGCACAAGGCATGGGTCAAATTGTTCTCCCTCATCACAGAATGTTGTGTAAAGATTATACAAGACTTTACTCCTCCTGCCAAGAGAAGAGCACAGAACACAATTAGTTTAATCTCTCTCTCTCTCTGTGTGTGTCACACATTCTCTCTCTCTCTTTCTTTCTTTCTTCCTCTCTCTCTCTCTCTCTCCTTGCTCCCCCTCTGGATCCAGAATTCAGGCCCGAAACAAATGAAACAAGGAGTTCCACAATTAGAAGCAGAGCTGACATAAGCAATAAAATACATACAATTATCCTCTGACGTGATTATCCTTCCAAGTTGCAAGCTAACATGCTTTCATTTGGTGATTTGTCATTGGGTGGAAACAACAGCCTCCATTTGCATGTTGATTTCACAAACTGTATTTCTGAGAGGCCAACATTTAATTACCTCATAATTCTTGCTGCTTTTGAAGCTGCCACTGTATGCCTTGACCCCGAGATTCTTCAGATCTAGTACCAGAGGCCTCAACAGTCTGGTCATGAATAGAAGCTTCCTAATTTTTTCCCAACCAATTAAGGAGCAGGAAGAAGAAGATGGCTGGTTCTTACAGTTGGCAGAGCTTTTGGCTGCTGTCAACATAGCTGGGAGGCTTTCTCTGTGTTGAAGAACTAAAACCCAGAAAGGCATATAGGCCATAAAAAGGTAAAGGTAAAGGTTCCCCTTGACATTTTAGTCAGTCGTGTTCACCTCTAGGGGGTGGTGCTCATCCCCATTTCCAAGCCGTAGAGCCAGCGTTTGTCCGAAGACAGTTTCCGTTGTCACGTAGCCAGCGTGGCTATACACGGAATGCTGTTTACCTTCCCACCGAGGTGGTGCCTATTTATCTACTCACATTTACATGCTTTCGAACTGCTAGGTTGGCAGGAGATATAGGCTTGAAGCATATAAAGTTAGGATTTGGTCAGGCATTTGGAGAAACAGGATTGTCAGTATTGCAGAGAGTGCCTTCCAAGCATCCCGCTCCACTTGTGGGCGCTCTCTTCTGTAGTTCAAATGAACCCATTTCATGCTTGCACTCATGGTCCCATTCTTGTTTCCCCTGTGACAGAATGGGCAGAGAGTGGCCCTTCATATATTGATCGATGGCAACTCCCAGTGACGGTGAGGAATACTGGCTACAGCACTTCAACATCTGGAGGGGTGTTACACTTTGCCCACCTCTGCCCCATGGCTTCCTTTGAATGTGTGAAAAGACCTTATCTGTGAAATGGGTTAAGAATTAGCATGTCTTACAGAGATCCCAAACAAAATTAAACAAAGAAAGAAATTATACAGAACAGACTTTTTCAGACTAGTCTTTGATCAATAGTCTGTGTCCAGTCCGTGGAGCACACTTTTAAGTCTGCAGCTTCCAAAAGTTCTCTCTGAGTCCTCTGTTGCCATAGAAGCTGAGCTGAAGTCTGGCAGATTGGAAATAAAATAAGCACAGTTTTCACTTTAACTGGGGAAAAGGCTGTTTAAAAAATGAAGGTACTGTATGCCTTCCTGGCACTCAACCTAATTTAATTAGCAAATTCAGCAGGACAGTTTTACGGAAAAGCAAAGCAAAAAGCGTGCTGCTTATATACCGCCCCATAGTGCTTCAAGCTCTCTCTGGGCGGTTTACAAGTTAATTATGCAGGTTACATATTGCCCCCCCCCAGCAAGCTGGGTACTCATTTTACCGACCTTGGAAGGACAGAAGGCCGATTCAATCTTGAGCTGGCTACCTGGGATTGAGTCCCAGGTCGTGAGCACAGTTTTGGCTGCAGTACAGCAGTTTAACCACTGCGCCACGAGGCACATTCCTTATACTGTACGTAGTTCCTATTTATCTGGTGTAAGCTGCTACAGCTTGGATAGATCCAGTCAAGTCACAGATTCACAACTGAATCTATGTTAGGGAAAAAAATCAGCTGAGCAAATTTGTATGGTAAAATGACACATGGATCCAAAATACAATATAGTTAGGTTTCTTCCTTTCTGAATCACTATTTTATGGCTACATTTGTTGTATGCTGTAACCATTATTGTTTAATGCTTCGACATAGTAAATTTAGACAGTGCATTTTAAGCCTGAATGGAAACACAAGTCAAATCCCTTTATATTGGATTGCATTGTGCTGTTTTTTATTATGTAATTTGCCATGGCTCCTGTGCTAAAGCAAAAAACAGAAATGAACAAAAACTCTAAATTTAATGGAAACAAAATAGAGATTCATCTCCATCTTGGTTTTCCAGCTGGTGGGGAAGCTGAGGCGGAATTCAGTCCTTGGCCACATGAGTGTGGCAGATGGTTGCCTGATGTCCTCAGGTGTTCTAGGCCCCAAAGCTCAACATTCATTGCAGATACCTGTCATATTACTTATGGTATTCCAAGCCGCCCTGTTACCTGACACTTCCTTTGTGTGAGCCTGATGATGATGTTCGTTGCAGCTGAATCTTGGTGAATCCTGCACACTCTTTCTTCCTTGTTATACCCAGGTGATATCTTTGCTTTGGCAGCTTCTCAGAGACAGAATTGATCTGGTTGGGGGGAAAGCGGGATGTTCTCAGTTGAAGAGTTTGGACAGGAAGAGGTGGAATATCCAAGCCCCCTATCTTCACATAAATATGGCTCACTAATCCCTTTGGTTCTGAGGGTCGTGTCTTTTGCCTCAGGTTCCCTTTGGTAGGTTATAGATTCAGAAATATTTGTGGGATTTTATGCTTCCTGTAGCAAACACACATTTTACGTAACTTGTGAGCCTTTGGTACTTTCCTCTGGTAACAGAATGTCTTGGGCTGGCCCTCTAAGGTTTGTGTTTGAGGAAAAAGTACAGAAATAAAGTAGATCCCAAAAATCTTATTTCCCTAACACTCTCCTTTGGCTCCTTATTTTAGAAGTGATAATGGACCTACAGTCTTCCAAATAAGTTAAGATAGCTCACAAAAGTTGCCTTTGGGGTCAGTAACCATGCTGGCTGAAAGAACTCTGGGAATTTTAGACCCTGCGAATATTCTATACATAGTATAGATTGGTACATGCTATTGACGTTACTGATCCTTTCAATTAAACAAACAAACAAACAAACAAACAAACAAACAAACAAACTGTCATTGAAGAACTGCTGATTCTTAGGAAATCGAAAACTTCAATATTTTCTGAAGGTGGTCAATTCTTACCTCACTTCTTTGAAATTTTTTGGCTTCATATTTCTGGGCAAAGTTTTTGTGACGTGGTGCCTTAGGAGGATATAGTGGGCTGTGCTTGATCATCTGCCTGGGGGAAGGAAGACGTGGAGAAATAGTAACACAGCAGGCAGTGCGTACTGGCCTCTTCAATTTATTTCCTGGCTAATGCTTTCTTTGAGCAGGGATGTAGGAGTAAAGTTTGACAGTCAGGTGAGAATGGCATTAGCAAGACTGCTGTGAGGAATTAAAAAATGCAGTCAGCACTGTTGTTCTGTGTCAACAGACTAATTCCAACAATTTTGATGTCTACATGAAGCAGTTCCTTTGTAAAGCTAATGGGTCTTAATTGCCCATTCAAGACAAAGCCAGGTTAGAATAGTTCTTAATATATGGTTTGGAGGAAAGTGCCTGCCCCATTACTGTCAGTATTGAAAATAAGCTCAGTGGAATAGGAAAAAAAGATTGGGTGGTAACAAATGATATTACCATCCGCTCAGTATCTTATCCCTGCATGCTGTAGTTCAAGACTGTCTCTCTGAGGGAAGCCTGAAAGCTGACATAGGCTGGAATATCCACCAGGCCTATCAACCTGCTAGCAAAAATCTTCCCAGTTATAATAAAGGATATAACATATTCAACAGGAAGTCATTTCTGTTCACTAAGGAATGAGGGGAGGGAGGAGTTTCAGAAAATAGATGGCAAGATGTTAACAATATAGGAGTAGAAAACCTAAGGGTTCATAAAATAAAAACAAGCAATGTGAGACTTCTTGTTTTTAAAGGTGACTGAGAAGGGCCACAATGTGGTGGAAAGCAGTGAAGGGAAGGCTGTTTGGAGGTACAGGTACGAAGAAGGTGCCTCGTACTGAGCCAGACTATCAGTCTGTCTATCCAGCCCAGTCCTGTCAGCTCTTAACTGGCAACAGTGGCTCTCTGGACATCCAGGCAGGACTCTTTCCTAGACCCATCAGGACATTCTTGTTACTCCCTAGTGGTCTCCCATCTAAATACTAACCCAGCCTGAACCTGTTTAGCTTCTGCACTCAAATGAGATGAGGCATATTCAGGACAGTATGCTGGTACGGTGAAAGCCTGAGATCAGAGTTACTTTTTCTTTTCTTTTTTCACTATAATTCCCATGCTGACTGTGGATTATTGGATTTGTAGCCCCAAAAGTATTTTTGTTACACTCTGACTCAAATGTAATAGCTGCTATATGCTATCTCTAGTACTTACTCAGCTGCGCTGTAGCAGCAGCAATCATGAAAGGACAGCTTGCATTCTGTGATGGGACAGCTGGCTACTACTTTGTCCTTCCATCCTGGCTTAGACTTTGTCTTTATGGAGCAAGGAAGCTCCTCCTCATATCCAAAGTGAAGCTCAGTTGGCATCTCCACTTGAGAATCCATCCAATCTGTCCCATGTAGTAGGTTCTCTATTTTGCTGTGGGAGAAAGGAAAATAAACCCATTACAGACATAAATGACAAATCCATATTAAGAAAGGGAGGACAGTCAAACAGCACAATTGCCACCGTATCTTGATATTGTGGTAAGGCAGGCATTAAAAATGAAATGAATATAATTTTCAAAGGTCTTGAGTAGAGATGGGGGTATTTGCATTTGTATGCAAATATTCCCCATAGGTGGAAATAAGGGTCCGGCCCCATGGGGCTGGACTGTCCAGTCACCATTCCGCCACTCACACACACTCAACAGAGCCTTCCTATTGTGCCGTTCTCTACAATGGATTAGCCACTCTGCGACCTGGCAGAGAAAGTTGCCATCCTGTCTCCTGCCAGGAGTGGCTAATCTATTGTGGACAACAACACGATAGGAAGGCTCTGTTGAGCTTGCGTCAGTGGTAAGTGGGCTTGTTATTTCCACCTGTGGGGGGATATTCGTATACAAATACAAATACCCCCATCTCTAGTCTTGAGTTACTGCCTGACATGCAGGGCAGAAATGTGCAAGTTATACATATAATTTATTAACTGAGCACAGTAACCTCATTCTGAACTTGTGACTACTGAATAGTGATAACTATTCTAGAAATTGGTAATAAGGTAAAAAGGCTGTTTATTATCTCAGGAATCCATTTTGGGATAGTACTGATTAGTAACTAAGAGAGGGAAGCAAGAAAATAGGAACTGATTTCAGAAAAAGGAGGGACACCCAACAGTACCTATCTGCATGCAGATCTAGAAAAGATAAATGTAAGAAAAATACACTTTAGTGACCTACTGCTCCCAGTTCAAAACACTTGCTATATGTGTCAGTGATGCTCTATTCCAGAAATCCCTTTTTGCTTAGGATTTTAGTGACTGAGGAGTTGAGAATGCAGTTACGATAAAAGCCAGAAATTGTTGTATAACTGAAGGCATTTGCACAGTATCTTAACATGAAGGTCACAACTCTTAGCCCCAGGTTTGGAAGGGAATTCCTACTAGGTTGTCTTCTGCTAAGAAGTTGTGTCCTTACTTGTCTAAGCTGAGGGAGTCATAGTAAGTAGATGTATCTGGCTCAGTAGCAAGAAAGCTAGACAGCTCATCCTTCCAATCAGCTGTGCTCCTCTCCAATGAATTAGTAATGTGTGCTGGTGAACTTTCTTCAGCTTCCTGGGACTTCTGGTCTGATGTCTCCAGGAGTGCCTTGATCTTGTCCTCCATCTCATCCTCATCCTGTTCCTTTAGGTCCTGAGATCTGTTGTCTGCGGCCTGCTCAGTTGGAGATATGCCATTGTCTTCACCCTGCTCATTTGACTCTTGGGACTTGCTTTCCTTGACCTGTTCACTTATGTCTTCAGATATGGTGTCCTCTTCATTCCGCTCACTTGTTTTGATCTGTTGCTCACTTATATCTTCAGATATGCTGTCCTCTTTGGTCTCCTCTTTTAGACCTTGGTATTTGCTGGGAAAAACAAAGAACATAAATCATGGAAAATGGGGCACGGCTTATCCAAAGCTGACTTTACAGATCAGTGAATTAGGTATCTGGCTGCAGAAGTTGGGAGTTTGATTCCCCACTCCTCGTCCAGGGAGAAAAGCCAGCCAGTGTGGCCTTGGGCAAGCTGCACAGCCCTAGGGCTCCCCAAGAAGAATGGAATGATAAATTACTTCTGAGTACTCTCTACACACACACAAAAAAACCTCTGAAAAGGGTCACCATAAGTCATAATTGACTTGACAGCACATTATTGGTCCATGGGGTCACGAAGGGTTGGACACAACTAAACGACTAAACGAAGGATGAGGGCAGTGAAAAACACATGCAGTGCAATGACATGGAGGCTGCCCTTTATGATCTTTGATTTATGCCTGAATTCTATTATTATTATTTTGTATATGTATTATTTTGCTACTCTGTTGTTTGTTTATGTGCTGTAAACTGCCCAGAGTGGTCCTGGCTGCCAGATGGGTGGTAAATAAATAAATAAATAAATAAATAAATAAATAAATAAATAAATAAATAAATAAATAAAATATTATTTTAATGTGGCATATACTTCATGTTAAGGTCTGGCTGTGATTCTCTCTAGTTAGGCCCTAGTGGATGTGGATTATTTGGCCCTTTTTCTGCACTGGGTATTGTTGGAAAATTCAATTTTTCATTATATGTGTACACTGCAGATTTAACCCTGTCACAGGATACAGCCTGTTGCTCCTCAGTGTACGTATGTTGCCACTAGCCCTTGGACAAGCTCTTTTTTCTTTTCTTTCTTTCTTTCTTTCTTTCTTTCTTTCTTTCTTTCTTTCTTTCTTTCTTGCCCTTGGATAAGCTCTTTTTTCTTTTCTTTCTTTCTTTCTTTTTTTACTGCAGGGTCTAGAATCTTTCCACTGGCAACTAGGGGCCACACTGCCTGGGGGATTCAGGGAGCTGCAGACCTAAAAGAGGAACTTGTCCTCACTCTAGTCATCACATAAGATGTATACAGGGAATCCTTTCTGCTCTCTCTCTACATTATATACAATATGTGACTGAATAATTGATAACATCTAGTGCAGAACCCCAGGAAAACTACCCCTCTTAAAGGATTCCTGCTCAGAACAGAAACTCTAGCAACACAAAAACAAAAAACAGAGGACATGGCTTATCTAAAATTAAATAAATAAACCTTTTCAGGTATGAATGAAGTGAAATGTCCCACCAATTTTAATTCATTAAAAAATGTGCCACTTTTGCCTGAAGACTGAAAGAAAATGTTAAGAAATGTTTAAGAAAATGTTACAACTTTATCCACCTTGTGAACTGAGTTTTTAAATTTGAACATTTTCAAATGTGAAATTCAGAATGACATTGTTTGACTTCATGGTCCCCTCCTAGCCATCATGTTCCAACTATGACAAGCTTTTCTGGCATTTTATGGAGGTCACAAGATTACCAACAGTCTTGAGCTCAGTATGTTTGAGACCTAGTACATTGCCTGGCAGAAATCAGTCCTCAAATGTGCAAAAACTAATAATACAAAAGCATGTGTATGGCCAAACATGGAATGTTGTCTACTCCAAAATGGCTATGAAATGCAAAATTACTGTACATCTAGGGCGGCTGCAGGAAATGTAGTAAACGGGTTCTATACTTTTATTATTGTGCTCAACAGGAAATTCCAGCAGGTCTACTTTTCATGACATGCAACTGTAATTTCCTTTTCTGCTTAATTGTTAAAGGTACAGGAGTTCTGTCACTCATGCCATGTGGCCGCCTTCATATACAGTATAGCATCAACTGCTGTTTGAGGGAGAAAAGAGAGATTGAGGTATCAATTCGAATTTTTAAAAAATGGATTTGAAAAACCTAGATTATGGTGCAAAAATGGCAAAATATATTACATAGTCCTTAAAAACACAACTTAAATCATTAAAAAAATGTAAACCAAAGGAATCAATAGGCTACATTTTTCTGTGACCTTAAAATAATTTACCTGTCACTGCTGCTGACCAGTACCTCCATTCTTCTGGACTGGAATGGTTTTGCTTCTTTAACATCAGTGGCAATGTCTGTTAAACCCTATAAAAATAAACATCTAAAATGAAGACACAATGGAAAGGTGAAAGACGCACTCTATTTTAGCTGCAAACAGAAGTCACTGCCCACCTCTGACATCAGCCCTTCCTCCGGCCACCAAAACAGATGCAAACAGAAATACTCACAGCAAGACTCCTCCCTTACTAGATCTTGACAAATTCACTTGCCAAGGAGCTGCAGGGATTAGCAAGCCTGTTGGCAATGTCTGAGGACTTGGAGCAAAAAGACGAGACTGTAGGACATACAGGGCAATCAAAATGAGCAAGGGAGAGTTCTTGGATATCTGTCCTTCCTCTGGCACCATGGAAGAGGTCTCAGGTTTGGAGCTTAGCAGGGTGATAGGAGGGGCCAGGAGAGTTTGGTGGAATTGGCTCTCTGGAGATGGACATGCAACCCTCCTCTGCGGCATGTTTTCTCCCACTGACTTGATTCCAGCTGTTGCTTGGAGAAGTTCCGGTCTGGTGATGTCATAGTGTATTGAGGTGACTCATGAAGTATGTGTGCATTTAAAAAAAAACATGCTTAGGCAGGAAAGGAAAACAGGCACCTGTGAACCCTCTTACATAATTATGAGAACAGTGTCATGGAACCAGATGGACCTTTATGGGCTCCATATAACTCAACTTCAATAAAGGCCAAAATCAAAATATTGTGGAAATATTCCTGGAATCCTCAATGAAAAAGGGTTTCCCAGTTTCTTGAGGAAATAGTTTAATTGTTCAACCATTTATAATTTTAGGTATCATTCTCATCTTTGCCTAGGCAAACATTTTGACATTTAGAAGTGTAGGAACCTTTTCTTCCTTCAATTCCCTGCATGTTTTGGAATCTCCAAACCACAGGGTTATGGTTCAAAAAAATAAAAGGAAAAAGAAACTTAATCACAATATACTCTAAGCCAGGGGTCTCAAACATGCGGCCTGCCGGATGATAGTTTGTGGCCCCCGCCTTGCCTGCCCCCCCTGAAGCGCCCACACATCCTCTGCTGTCAAGAGTCAAAAAAGCCTTGCCTCGCTCACTGGCTCTCTCCCAAGACAGCGCCTCTTGCACTCTCCATCCAGAACTGCAGCTAGGCCACCTGTCTGCTGGCTGGCAGGCTGCAGTTCCGGATGGAGGGTGCAAGAGGCACTGTCTTGGGGGAGAGCAAGGTGGCTGCCGGCCCTTTTCCCCGAGTGCCCAAGCCGCTGCTATGCAATGCCTGAGAGCAGAGCTCGCTCCCAGCCCATCCTCGAAGAGCACCTCCAACAGTGCCGCCGGGCTTCCTTGGGTTCTTGGCAGAAAATCTGATGCGGCCCAGCCTCACCCAGACTCTGCCTCCAGTGGCCCCCAGGTAAATTGAGTTTGAGACCCCTGCTCTAAGCCAATTGGGGGAGGTGGCCCTACAAGTTGAACTACAATTACATCACCCAGATCTTTAGCTATGGGGACTGAGAATGATGTGGTTTGGATCCTACAACATCTGAAGAACCACAGATTTCCCCCATCCCAGCATAATGCATGCAGACCAGCTTCAGGAAGGTAGCATTTTAGATTGTGAAAATATGCAAAAGAACCACGGGAAATGGGCTAGGTAGCAGAAAGCTCCCTGTATATAGTTGTAATAGTTGGTTAGAAAACTGTTTATGGCCTCCAGATTTTCCGAAGACCTGGATAATGACCTACGAATGAGTTTCGTTGGAGGCGGAAACTGTAGATTTCTTACTGTTAAATGAAACCACAGGTTTCCCTATTGAGGGATTAAGCCTAAGTGAACCATATGTCAAGTAAGCACATTACTCTTAGGGAATACTTGGTGAGTTAACCATTAGTATGTCAAGACCCAGCAAGAGAACCTGGGCAAACTGCCTGCAGAGAGAGTTACTGTATAGCAGTCTTTTTGGTAGAGGAAAACCATTTGAAATTCTTACCTGGCATAGTGCAAATACAGAGTTAAATCTCCAGATTCTCATGCATGTTTCAGACTGGATGACCTATAACTTGGACATAAGGGCCATGTTGTTGATCTTCCATTTGGACAGCCACAGTTGCTCACTTGCAAGAGATATAGCAGACCTTGATACATGCTGTTTTAATTTTGTTGAAATTACTCACTTATGCTATTATACTCCTTATGCTATTATACTCCACGACTGCCTGGGTAAGTGATGTGAACTGTTATCAGGTCAAAATGTTCTTAGAGAGTGCAGGGGACAGCAAAGCAGACAGACTGGTGTTTGCAGCACCATGGACAGTTCCAGGTAAGGCACTTGCTGAAAATCTTCTGGTGGCCTGAAGAATCTTGACTCTCTCCAACCAGTCCTTTCTTCCGAAACTCCATCATCCTGCCTCAGGAAATTCTAGAATGCCCTATTCACGGGCCTGAAAACAAGTGCTTCTCCTCCTTCCCCTGGCTTTTCAAGTCATGTGCTCTCTGTGACACTGGGTAGGTGGCATGGGAGGTATTTTTTTTCCCTTGAATGAATCAGGCTTGAGGAAAGGCAATCGTGAGGGTCCTGGCTTGGGCTTGGCAGGCTTCTGACCAGCTTCAGCATCAAAAATATGGACCAGCCTCTCACCTAATAGTACTGCATCGACCCAATCTCAAATGATTCACACACACCCTAATTCTGAGCTTCAGTCCAGGGCCATGAAAAACATGCAGCTATAACTATGTTGGTGCATTGACCAGTACCCCAGGCATCAAGAATGAGGGGCAAAGCCCTAATGTGTGTTTGTGTGTGCGTACATTTGGTGAAATTCCACTGTTTGGTTTCCATGTGCTCCTTTGTTGCCTCAATCTCTCTTTGTAAAGTTCAGAGCTAAACAGTTGTCCTGGGTCAATGTAGAGCCTCAAATTCTGATTTTTTAAAATAATACTTCAGCAGTTTGGTCCTAGTCCCAGGAGCCAGACTCATGTGATAAGCTTGTGTTATGTGTTGTCAAGTCACTTCTGACTTATGGCCATGCTCATAGGGTCTTCAAAGTACATGAGATATTTAAGAAGTCAGGCCATGCTCATAGGGTTTTCAAAGTACATGAGATATTTAAGAAGTCATTTCATGATTGTCTCCCCCCATCAGTTTCTATGGCCAAATGAGGATTTAAACCAGGTCTCCTAAGTCTTAGTCCAACAATCTGTTCACTACACCACAACGGCTACCCTACATATAATTGGAGTGCTTAATAATGGGTTGGCATGTGAACTGGCTGGCTTACGTGAATCATCTGGGCAGAAGGTTCTGGAAGGCTTTGTTCCCCCCCCCAACTTTTCACTGATTCAAGAAGCTAGCGCAGTATGAAATCCAAGTTTTAAAAATTCTAGTGAAGTGAATGTCGTGTTTGTGTATGTTTCCACTGGTTTCAAAATACATGTTGTACAAAGGTTACAACACCACTGAACAAACAGGCTAAGTTCAGAAAGGAGCTTGCAAGCACACTGGTCTGTTGGATTTTATTGAAGTCTGCCAATGAGCCATTTACAATCTACCAACAACAGCCCTATTCCCCTCCCCACTGTGGTCACATTTTTACGAAAATGTGAATCCCTCTTTCCCTACCTGAGAAAGATTTTTCAGTTGATAACCATTCTGGAAAGGAAGATGGCAGCCAAGGAGGATGGAGCAATAAGAGATACACAGAATTTCCCCTGTATCAGATTGCGAAGAGCACCTGTGTGAGCCATTTCATGTGGCTATAGAGGTGTCCTCCGGAGGAGGACGGTTTTCCTTGGAGAGTCTCAAATCCGACTGAGACTCTAGTGCCTCTACGCTGTCATGGCTTTTACGCTTCCCTTCTGCACTAGGCACTGAGGGTAAAGGGCTGGGATCTGTGTGGCCGATGACCTCTGACTGGGATTTTGAAACTTCTGTGATGTCATGGTCCTCCTCTTCCCCTTGTTTACTACGTAGAGGGCTGGTGAGACTATGACTTCTTTGGACATTGATGTCCGACTCGGACTTTGTCCCTCCCGGGATGGTATTCTCTTTATCTTCTCCTTCTTCATTAAGTATAGTGGAGGCAGTGTTGGAGTTTTTTAGGTCACCTTTCCCACATACAGGTTTCCGTGAATGGGCAGGACAGATATCATCATGTACATCCATCAGTGCCAGCCAGGGAGACAAGGAGGTGGAGGTGGCCATCTCCTCATCCAAGTAGCTTTGGTATTTTCTTCTCCATCTGGATTCTGCACTGACAAGCTCAGTCACATCTTGAAAAGGTCTCTTTCCCATAGTGGTGTATTCATCCTGGAGCACTGTCAGGAGAAGTAAATGACACCCTGACCAGATATTCTGCAGAACAGCAAGAGTTTCTCAAAATTAGACATACAAATGCCTGCTTTGGAAACATGAACAGGTTTTGGAAGTATGAAGAAATCCTAGGTAATCAAAATAAAGATCCCAGCTATATACAATTATATTAAATCCATCCTGCTTTGGTAGTATAGATCCGTGGATTCAACTCAGACCACACCTGTCCCACTGGACTCAGAAAACCCAAAGTTGCAAATGTTGCCTCATTAAATATAATGGGAAAACCAATACGTACAGTAAATGCTATGAAAAAAAAAACTAAAAACACATTTTCCCAAAATTTGTAGACATAGTGTCTCCTTCTGAAAAAAATAAAGCCTGCCTTATTTCAGACAGATGTGCAGGGATTTTGTGCTAAGCTTGCTTAAAATTAGAAGATTTTTGAAGAGATGCCTATAACTGTTAAAGTTCTTGTCACGCCTAGATGCCACTGGGTGACAGACTGAAGGGTGCCACATTTCAGATATTAGGTTATTTCTTTCACCACCATCACCCCACCAAGTGCCTTTGAAGCTGATTTTAAGAGTAGGGAAACTGATCTTGCCGCTTCAGTCTTTGCACTAAATTACACATTACAAATAACCATAATTAGAAAAGGGAACTCCTTAAGCGCCGATGTTGTGTGTCATTGTCACAGCAGGAGCTTTTCTCATTTCCCATAATTGACAGCTTAGTTTGCTTTGTTTCACAATTGTCTTCAGGACGTAAGCATATTCTTTGTTTGCAAGATTTATGAGAGATAAATCAGTGGAGAGGGCTTCCCTTTGGGCAAGCCATAAGCAAATTCTTTGTTTTCAAGATTTATCAGAGATAAATCAGTGGAGAGGGCTTCCTTTTGGGAAAGCCTGACCAAAGCAATTCCCCCCCCAACACACACACTGTCTTTGCAAAGTCAGTGGAGAGAGGGATCACTTTGGTCATGGTCATAGAAAGACAAGGAAATTCTGACTCAATGGATTCACCCCCCCCTCCCCCAACATGGACTGGAGAAGCCTGACCAAAGTGACCCCCCCTACTGTTTACAAAGACAGCAGGGGGGGGATTCCTTCAGTCAGGCTTCCCCTGTCTACGCCACAGGAGCATAGAAGGACAGGGGAAGCCTGACCAAAGTGATACCCCCCCATCTTTGTAAACGGGGTGGGTGGGATTCCCTTTGGGCAGGCCTCAAGAATACAAAGCAGCCAATATCTGACAAATCAGTAATATTTGTTAAATATTGCGATTTGTTTTTATATTTGTCCCAATGTCTAATCACAACCTTGAGCATTGTTTCTTATGCATCTTCAAGAATGAGACAGAGAAGGGGACTGGCAGGCGATTCCAGACCGGTTAGCTATCTATTGGGTACCTTACCTTCTTCTTCTTTTTCAAGACTTCTTTGCAGATTCCTTGCAGCTAACATGAATTCTGAAAGGTCTATTGTTTTATTCTCTATGCACAGAGGGGGAAAAAAAAGGAAATTGAGTAACTTCAATAGCTTTCTCTTGGTTCCAAAGCAAATGCTAGTTTGGCCTATACATTGGAAAACTACATGTGGCTAGTCACAAATTAGAAAACCTAAATATTTCGATTCCGGCTCCCAGAATCTCCAGCCAGAATGGCAAATATGAGTCTGAGGGTCTGATTCTGAGAGTAATAATGTATCTCCTTAAGATCATCTACTTCCACTCGGGCTTGCAGTTGCAGGTGGCCACCCCAAGAGTGGCCCAGAAAATAACCACCAGGAACAATGGCCTTCTAAGTGATGGCTTTGACACTATCAAAGATGCTGCTGGTGAACAGATGCCTGGCTCCCTCCCTCTTGACCTTCAGGAAAGGTGTGTGAAAGCCAGATTCTTCAAACAGGTTTTGAAGAACATCTTCCCCCCTTTGATATTCATGTTGAGCCATGAGTCTGAATTTTGTCTGCTATTGCCTCTGGAGTTTGTGGTTTGGCCTTTATTATTTATTTGTTTTGTTTATGTTGGGAAGGTGTTTGTTTTCATTTTTTCTTAACTATGCAGAATAGTGGGATAGATAGATAGACAGACAGACAGACAGACAGACAGACAGAGAGAGATCGATCGATCGATCGATCGATCGATAGATAGATAGATAGATAGATAGATTGATCACATTAAAAAACAGTGTTTCTGATTTCTGGAGGAGGTCATCTCAAAGATGAGCACTTCATCCTATATTAATACATCCACTGGCTGAAGGTATTACCGTATCTAAAACCTGGCCTTCAGGCATTTCCATATGAGAATAAATGGTGCTTTCAGGCTGGGGTCTTTTCTTATAGGTTGCAAGGATGTGGGATTTTTTTGTCCTTGGGGAACGTGAATTCATGCCTACTTTCTTAACTTTCAGCTCACAGGCCCAAATGATCCAGTAAATAAGATTGTTGAAAAGCTGTAGAGACAATAGGTTTATTAAAAATTCTGCTTACTGATAATCAAACAATGGGGCTTTAGAGGGATCATTGTCGTATCTTTCAGTCACTCCCCTAACATTCCAACTTTCTCCAGTCATCCTTCTCTGTCTCAGAAAACATTCACATTTACTGCTTCCCAAATCTTCAGTGTGATTGGCTGAGCCAAGCAGAGGAAAGACACTAGGGCTGTCTGTCACAGTCAGCTTTATTTGTTTTTTTAATAATACATGTTCAGAAGAAGGAGTAAAGCAGGAAGAAGGACTGAGAAACTGGTGAAGCAAGGAACATGGTCTACAACCAGAGCTATGGAATGATTTGAAGATAAACTGGAAATCTAAGTAGGAATCACAACTGGAAACAATGCATCACATTGGCACTTCTGTTGAGGTCAACATCTATGGTAAATTGGCCAGATTTTCCAATCCAGTACCGTCACAAACAGCAAAATAGTAACCAGACATTCTTCAAGTGTTGTTTGGCTAAATCTTCCAATCCAATATCCCATCTGTACTGGGCCATACAACTCAATATTTTGGCAAGCTGAGACAATACTCACTACTAAGCCGTGTGTGTCCCAGTGTTGTCTGTATTTCCTCAGTGCTTAGATGAACTTCCAGGTCCCTCAGAACGGATGACAAATCATACACATTCACCATGCCATTGTTTATCTTCCTAAAAGCCCGAAGCGTGTTCTGAAGGGCTGCAGGAAGAGAAAAGAAGAGAAGGGGGGGAGAGAGAGAAAATTACTCACAATTACAGGACGAGAAAAAAAGACAATACCTGTAGTTATGATCTTAGAACCGCAGAGCTGGAAGGGACTCTCTGTATCATCAAGTTCAGCCTCTCTCAGGAGGTACAGTGGAGAATCGAACTCCCATCCTCTAGCAGCTCTAGAGCCGAATAACTAAACCACTGAGATAAGTCATCAGATTTCAAATGTACCTGTCTTTTTTGGTAA